CAAACCTGAAAGAGAGTTTTACAGAGTATAGCAGTCTTGGCTGGAATTTGTTTTCTTGGAGGACTTGAAGTACTTTGCTCCATGCTCTTCTTGAGTTGATGGTTCATGAAGAGAAATCTGACATTATTCTGATGGGTTTTCCTTTAAATGTGATCTGTTTCTTTTCTCTACCAGCTTTTAGTATATTGTTCTTGTGCTGGATTTCTGGGATCTTTATTATATGTCTGGGTGTGTTTTTCATTAGGTTGATGTTATTTGAAGTTATATATGCTTCAGTTACCTAAAAGTCAGATTGTTTACCCATATTTAAGAAGCTTTATGCTATTACTTCTGACCATAATCTTTTTATATTATTTGTATTGACTCCTTCTTTCTCATTGATGCCTATTAGTCTTAACGTTATTCATCTTTGCATCATCTTGCAGATGTTGAATTATTTTTCCTGCACCCTAGTTATTTTTAAGAGATCTTTTCTTACCTTTTCACTAGCTGCAATGGTATCTTCAAGATGTGAAACTCTATCTTCACTTTCATTCAAACAGTTTTGCCAGCTTGTCATTGAGGTTTTAATTTCCTGTGTATCTTTTTGAATATTCTTCCTGCATTCTAATTCTTTCTTATATTGCTCAAAAATTCTATCATTTTTTTCATTATTTTTCTATTCTCTTTTTATCAGTGTCTATTTTAGAAGTACTTCCTAATTATTTCTTTATAGTTATCATTTTTTTTTAACTTCAGCAATTATTTCTGATCTGATATCCTCTATATCTTTCTGCAGTTGTTTCTTTACTTCAGATGCTATTATTTCACAGATTTCAGGAGTGTGACTTCCAATTTCTTCAATGCTAGTGTCTCCTGCATTTCCTCTGGGTGGGCTCAGGGCCTGAGACTGAACTTTTCTCCTTCTCTGTCATTTTGCACTGTCCTCTGACCTTCGGTGCAGAGCCTTGGTGTAGTAGTTAACTTAGTTCCTTCCAATACTATTACCCAAGGGAGATTATGTGGTTAAGGCAGTTGTAGCTTTGTATTTAAAATACTACAATTAGCATCAATAATAATGGGTACTGAGATTTAGCATTTGACAAACTTTTGTAATTAATGGATTTGTGTTTTAGACACTAAGGGCCAGTATCATGATGCTATAGCTAAGCAGATATAAAATTTAGAATTTTATATAAATTAGTTCCCCTGAGCTCTGTCTGATCACCTCCCCTTGATGTACCTGGAAACTTCCAGGCAGACTTTCACCCCAGTTACCTGTTGCCCCCTCTCTCGAGAGAGAGAGAGAGAGAGAGAGAGAGAGAGAGAGAGAGAGAGAGAGAATGCTCTCATAGATCTGGGTCTAGGTCTACCAGTGTATCTCAGCTTACCAGGTCTGGATCTACCAAGTTCAAACTCCTCCAACTGGGCCCAGCTTGGGTCTGGCTACTATGCTTGGCTTCTTCCTGCTGCAGCCAGGGGAAGTGAACCTGCTGTGCCCCACTAGCAAGCTGTTCTGCTCCTGGATTAGCTGGCTGGATCTCACTCCTAGCCACCCTGCTGGGAGTTCCACTGCAGGGTTCCACACCAGGCCTGACCACTGGCTGGAGGCCAGACAGTCAGGCAGGGTGCAAGGTCTAGCTCCTGGCTGGAGTCGTTGGGCGGGGGTCTGGAGTTGGTAGATGGGAAGTTCCATGTGAGCAACTTTGGAATCTTTTTCTTTTTTAACTTTGACAAGAAATCTATCTAATGACACTTAATTTTGCCTCCTTTTGAGGAGTTTGTGGAAATGTGACATTGCATTCTTATTAAACATATTCATCTCTCATACTGCTACAGCATTATTCAGGTGGTGCTTTTCTACCAAATTCTCCACTATCTCTCACATTTTATATGTCTCCCAAGTCTCAAATGAAGTGAAGGATTTCTCCATCTTCTTCACACCTCCTCCTTAGATGAGATCCCCATAATCTCTTCCCATTAGGAGCCGATCACCCCTACTCACACAGCGAGAGGAAAACAGAGAGAGACCATTGGCTTGGTTGTGATCAGGTTCACATCAGCATCACATACTATTAATTAACAAGCTAAAATGTTTCAGAAATGTTTGCCCATCTTGTGGAGCACTCAGAGAACATGTTATTCACTATCCAAGGTTTTACTGCACTCTGGGATTAGTGGGGAATTACTGAGAATAAAAATAAAGAGGGAGAAGAAGACCAAAGGTAGAACCGTAAAAAATAGTTGACTCTATTTAGGGAACAGATGGAGGAAGTGACCTCAAGCATGGTGCAAAAAGCGGGGGAGAACCAAGGCAGAGCACAGGCCAGGCTGTTGAAGGAGGATGTTCCAGTAAGAGATGGTATCAACCACATTTGCTGGAATCAGCAGTTAGAAAGTCATTTATAACTTTGGCAAGAAGAAATTTAGTAGCATGCTGAGAGAATGCACAAGCTTATTTGCAAATACTTTGTAAGACTCACAAAAAAGAGCTCCCTTCTCCCTCCCTTCTCTCACCTAAAGTATGCATTGTTGTTGGTGATAAGGAGGATCACATATCAGATTATGCTATTATAAACCTAAGAGCAAAACATGATGTGTGTGAGAGTTGAGATTTCAGAAATGTGGAGCAGACAGCAACATCCCCAGCTTTTAGGGAGGTAGGAAAGGTGGCAGGTAGCCAAGAGAGATGATTATATGGGATGGTCTGTGAGTGAGGCCAACTCTGCCAAGACACAGAGGGAATCACAGTTCTCAGAGGAGCCATGCAGCCAGTCCCCTATTAGGGAGAAGTGTCTACCAAGAACTGAGAACATGACTCAAGGCCGCTATGAGCTCAGGGTCCATGCTGACTAGCAGCGCATTCGTCTACATTCTTTTCTTCATGCTCAAGCCCAATCAGGTCTACATTTAACAACTGCTCAGTGAGAGAAAACTCACAGTCCTTAGTGTTCACTAGGAGCTGAGGGAGGACTAGGAAAGCTGAGCATCACTCTGGCTGCCCCAGGAGTATCGCAACCACAGCAACCTCTATAGGAAGGCTTGTTCCCACGTGTGCAGCCTAAGATATACCCACCGGGCTGCGGACTAAAGAGAGTGAAGAGAGCGCAGCTAAAACCACCGGCTCTCCACTCTCCTTTGAGATACACTCCTCCTCTTCCTCCTCCTCCTCCTTCTCCTCCTCCTCTTCCTTCTCCTCCTCCTCCTCCTCCAAAATTAAAGGTCAGCCTCATGCTCACGCCAAGATTTTAAAAACACACTGAAGCCACAAAGCGGGGGAGGAGGCAGCTTCAGAGAGGCTACATTTTTGAACACGAAAAGAAAGGGTCCTTCAGAAACTCAATGTTAAAATAAATAATCTTTCCCTCAAACTACTTAGTAATTCCCGAATGACAAAATTTTCCAACTGTCAATGTGTAAAGAATAAAATAAATGGAATGAAGGCCCTGCTGTATTACTTTAAAACATTTAAAAATGGTCCTCATTTCTGTGGGAGACTTTGTTGGGTAGGTTGTGAGGTTCATTTTCAGATGGCATTACTCCACCAGGAACATATCCCCTTCTCTTCCCGTACACTTAGGACGGTGGGGACACCATCACATTTCACAGTTGGCATCCCATGAACTTGCTCAAAAGTGCTGCATTCTAAAGAGCATCAGGCAAGCACAGTGCCCTTGAAATGCTCATTGCAGGGCACAAATGCTGCTCCTAGCACAATCCCACTGGGCAGATCCAGCCAACTCCCACTGAAGGCCCAGCACAAAGAGCTTCTGCCACCACCACTTCCCTACAGCCCCCTGGACCAGAGCACTGCCTGAGGCCAGGGCCCTAGGGCTCCCAGACAGAGATGTCAAGATGAAACTTTGACTACTGACTCTGTGTTCAAGATAACTTCTCCCTCCCATCTGTCACTGTTTCTAACTTAGGAATTCGTGGAGCCCTTTCTTGTGCATGGTCAGGAAGCCTGAGAAGTAAATTGGACAGAGATTCAAGAGCATTGGCCTGCTTATCTGATAGAGAAATTGTGAGAGTTCAATGCCCAACAAGGGGGCAGTACCCAAACCAAAACCCATAACATGGTCACTGGGATACAGTGCTCAACATCCACTCCATACAGGAAGATACGTTTAATTTAGCTCGCAGTTCCGGCTCCACAGCAGGAACATCATGGAGGAAGGTGGCGAGGGAGCAAATCACACAGTTGGGGGTGGCCTGTCAGCAGTGTGGGAGAGCTACCAGACACACGCAGAAGTGTGCTCCACGAACAAGCTGGGTGGTTCCCAATCAACCAAGCTGACACAACCCAACTGACCATCACACATGGCTTCTGAATCTCTCCACCATCTAATCTCACATCCAGACCCATTGTACCTGCTTCTGCCATGAGGTCAACACAGTGCCAACCTGCTTCCAGCCACAGTCCGGGGTGCCTTTCCTTCTCTGCAGGTCCCTGCAGCCCTCTTGGGTCACCCCCCACCACACACACACACACACACACACACACACACACACACAGTTTTTACTGATTGCTCTCTTCTCACTTTCAGAAACCTCCATCTAACTGCATGTCTGCCTGTTCATACTTCCTGCTTTTCCTGATGCCAATAACTTGTTTTGGATTAACTTTAACAATTTTCTCTTGAGATTTCCAGAATCTTCCCATCCAAACAACCAATGAAAGGCATGGACCCAGCACCAGTAGTGAAGACCAAGGCAGCACAGCCCCCCAGTGCTGGAGACAGCTCCTGAAAGCAGGCAACTGCCTTGGGACAAGAGTTCGGATGACTCGCTAAAGTCACAATGTTCAATTATAGGAAGTGAGAAATATTTTGAAATACACTAATGTGTTTTTATTATTTTGTGTCACTCTGTAAATGACCTTCTTCCCAGCATGTGGAGAGGGGTTGGAGTGGAGGAATATTAGGACACTAAAGTATGAATGCCAAGAGAAGGAAAAGCTGAACATTCAGCATCTAACATCCATAATAGGACTACCAAGTCTAGAACTCTGTCAAGAAAACATGGGGCTTTCTCAGTCCTCCTACTCGCCTTTCCCTAACACTTCAAAAGGCAAGCCCTGCAAACAAGCTCATGGATTGTACCTGAACAAGTGCTCATCAAGGAGAGGAGATCTGGCTTTTTTTTTTTTTTTTTTTTTTCAGCCAGCTGGAAAGATGGCAGATATTCAGAGTGCGCCTACCAGGAGCAGCTGACTACCTTCCAAAACAAGAAGAGGGTACTTCTGGGAGAAACTGGCAAAGAGAAGCTCCCTGGGTACTACAAGAACATTGGTCTGGGCTTCAAGACCCCCAAAGAGGCCATCAAGGGCACCTATATTGATAAGAAATGCCCCTTTACCAGTAATGTTTCCATCCGGAGGCTGATCCTGTCTGGCGTGGTGACCAAGATGAAGATGCAGAGGACCATTATCATCTGCCAGGACTATCTCCACTACATCTGCAAATGCAATCGCTTTGAGAAGCATCACAAGAAAATGTCAGTGCACCTGTCCCCCTGCTTCAGGGACATCCAGATTGGCGACATCGTCACAGTGGGTGAGTGCAGGCTCCTGAGCAAGACAGTGCGCTTCAACATGCTTAAGGTCACCAAGGCCGCCAGCACCAAGAAGCAGTTCCAGAAGTTCTAACTGCACCTGGCCATACCACAAGGGAATATAGTTATTCTGACTCTTGAAAAAAAAAAAATGGAGAGGAGATCTGGCTTCTGCCCTGATGAATGGAAAGGAGGGAGGCAAAGACAGAAGGAACAATCATGAGTGAGGCAACGTGACCCTTACACCCCCAGAGCACTGCAGATGCATTGGGTTAGGTAGAAGGGAGCCCTAAATCATCAGGTGCAGCGTGTGCTTCCAGGGACATTCCTGGAGAACCAGGAGAGGTGGCAGGAGGTAGTGCCCTGTGTCTCGGTGGCTGCAGTGTTGCAGGCCAGGAACTAGAAGGTTTCTGTAGCTCAGTGAAGACAAATGGAAGGGGCTGTTAGGTGAGCCCAGATAGTAGATGGTCACAGAGGGAGCAAGCAGCCACACCAGGTTACATAAAACTGCATTAACTGCAGTCCCATCTGGGTGCTGCCTTCAAAGAGCAAGTGGAATCCAAACACCTCCCCTACCTCACCCACACAACCCCAGTCCAAGTTACTTTTCTCTTTCATTCCAACTTTCTAGCTGCACCAGCCTCCTTCTGGCCAACCTGTTTCCACTCTTGGCCTCTTTTCCTCCCAGAAGCCAGAGTGATTCCTTCAAAAGCCCTACATGACCTTACAAACCTACGGTAACTTTCCAAACTTGGAATACAGCAGTCCTTCACCATAGGTTCACCTTACTGATACCCCACTGTGGTCCATATGCATTACATGAAAAATTTCAGAAGTTAACAAACATAAGTTTCCATTTTGTTTTGTTTCTGTGGTACAGTGGATTGAACCCAGGACCTTCATGGTGAGCTATATCCTCTACCATTTTTTTTTGAGACAAGGTCTTGCTAATTCTTATATTTTTAAAACTAATTTTATTGGTACGGTAATTCACATACTAATCATATTCATCATATGGAATATGTACTATACATCATGTAATTTATTCTTTTTCCCCAATCTCTACCTTTCCCTGGAAGAGAAGTGTTACTTCCATTTTTTGCCTTCTCTTCTCATTTTTTCTTTTCTCTTCCCTCCCCACCCCCACCTGCCTCTGATCTGAGCATTTTCTATTTCACAATATCTATTACACATTTTGGTCCTTATTTGCACTTTCAGTTTCTCACACCAGAGAAACAATATGATATTTAAACATCTGTGTCTTTAGCCATGGTGTTATGTTGAGCTGCAGGGGACTCAGGTTAACAATTTCTGACATTGCCAGTCAAGCAGAAGACCCAATACTATTATCAACTACTGGACTCTTAGAATATTTTGCTGAGTTAACACACCTATAATATTCACATGACGGAACTAAACAAAAAAGGGGATACAGATGAATGTCCATTTTGTATCTGTATATTCAAAATGGTTAGGATAGATATATAGTTACATTCTCTTAATGAATAGAGGGATTTGTTCTAATAGTGTTTGTAAACAGGATATCATGTCTGCATCTTGTACAGCAAATAACCACTAGGAAGAGAGTATGCAATGTGCTAATTATTGAAACTGTCCTACCAGTTTGATTTGAAACTGTCTCATGACTGTTTCTCAATAAAATTATGGGGAAAAAAATTAAAAATTAAAAAATAAACATCTGTGTCTGATTTATCTCACTTGAGTATGGTATTAGGGTATATCTGTTTACCTAGACGTGTCTCAGATTTATGCTTTATGCAGAGTAATACTCCATGGTATAAAAAAACTTTATCTATTGATCCATAATCCTTGTGCTTTAAATTACACACTGTGCTGAGTACAGTGATGATCTCAAACCACCCTGCCTCATCCTACCTGGGACATGAATCATCCCTTTGTCCAGTGTATCCATGCTGTGTATGCGACCTGCCTATTAGTCACTTCCAGGCCTTCCAGGAGGTAGAGTGGCAGCACTGTGGTCAAGTAATCCCCACACAGGAGCCTACCATCCCACAACTGTCCCCTTGTCATTCACTTCACCTCCTCTCATCACGCAGGCACCGTGTCATCTCACAGGAGCACAGGAAGAAAGGAGCCAGGCAGGATCACTTGGAGTCAGTCAGAGATAATTGTGAGCAACACAGAGACTGTTAGAATATTCATTTTACTTTTATTACACTGTACACCCTCAGGTACAACAATTGCTATAATTGTGCTCTTATTGTTGTTAATCTTTTGTATTTAATTTATAAATTTAGGGTTAACTTGTAAGTTTTATATCAGAATTAATCACTGAAACCACTGGATGATGGCTTTCATGCTTCCATTGGCATCCTAGAACTTCCCTGTGGACAGGGAGGTTGACTGCATGATCTATGGTCCTCGCCATGGCCAACAGGATGCCACATGATCTGGTCCTAGCTCCTCCCAAACTCCACTTCCTATCTGGTCACCTTCCCCCACTCAACCACCCTTCCCAAAATAGCAGCCCACTCTGGATCACAATCCCATTATACCTCTTTGTTTTCCACAATACGCATGACTTCCTTCTGGAGTGGTATCCCATTTATCTTTATTTGCTCATTGTCCTTGTTCTTGAACTAAAATGGAGGCTTTGTAGAGGAAAAGCTTCCCTGCCTCCTGTACCTACACAGCGCTAGTATACAGTATGTGCTCGATAGACACTTACCAGGGAAAAGCAACACTCAGGGTCTGTGAACTGCAGACTTCATGCTCTGCTGCTGCTGCTGCTGCTGCTGCTGCTGTTCTAAAACAGGGCGTTGGCCACTGCTTCTCCCTTTTTCTCTTGCTGCTTTTGCTGTTGGCTGCTGCCCTGAACTGTTGCTCTCTGACAAGTTCCACTCTGCCTTGGAACCAGCCGAGTGTGGACTGAAACTTCCACAACTTTCTTCGTTCATGACAAGAAGAACCTAGACAGAATCTCTAGGAAGAGCTCACAGACCCCCAGCACCTGGTGACAGGATTCCAGGAGTCCACTGTCACACCTGACATATCTTCCATACAAGGACAGAAGGAGGGACATCACAAATAAAGACAAAGTTTGAGAAATCTAATAATGCAAATCACAGAACTAGATGACCAAATTAGAGATTTTAGATTATTCTCTAATTCGGAATATTTAGACGAGTGTAAGCCAGGCTTTTGTGCAGGACCAGCAGCGAGTGGCAAGTGTGTGCTGTGCAGATGTGGAAAGCAGCTGCGTTCACTGAGACCACATGAAGCTGAGCTCAGGATGAGGCCGAGCTGACAGAAGTCATGGCGTAAACGCAGAAGTGGTGCGGGCTGACAGGAAAGCAAAAGCACAGAAGCCCCCAGATAAATTGGGTTTCATGATCTGAAGGGCCTGCACCTGTGCCCAGTGCCTCTCGAGTCTGAAGGTGTGACAAACAGGAATGACCGACAGGGTATGTCATCAGGTCAGGGCCTCTACGCACAAGTCTGTCCCCGGATCCACTCTGATCCTGCTCACATGCATGAGACTTAATGTATATTCACAAATCCCTAATGAAGTTGAAGTAGAACGAAGGTGTCTAAGATCAGGCCAGGGGACAAAACATGCATGTGCTCTCCCCTAGCACATTTGAGATTACTGGGGCTGTCCCTTATGGGATTCTCTACCTCCCTTAGGACAATGGATGGGGGCATGGTACCAGGTGTCCTTTAGAACTATACAGGTGGTAACTAAACCTCTGACTAAAGCTCCTCCTAGTTCTAAGGCACCAAGATAGCCTGTCACCCAACAGGATCCAAGAAGCTGCCCAAAGTAAAGATGGGGAACCTTTACTTGACTTGGGCTGGGTGCATCCCACCCATGGGGCAGGCAGCTGGTTGGCTGACTTCCAACACAGATGAAGAATTTTCAGTATACATCAGTGTGAGAGGCATGAAGAGATTCATTAAGCACAATTGTAAACGTGCACACAGGTGCCTTGTGGCCTTGCACTAAAAATATTTATGGGTGAGACCAGAGCATAGGGCTGAGCTAAATCTGGCTGGGAAAGGAGGTGGGTGAGATCCCAGGATGCAGAACTCTCATGAGAACTCCAGGTTTTCCATAGGACAGCCTAGACATGACATCAGCTTGAGGAGTCAATGATAGAAAAAGGACGGTCCACGCTGAGGTTGTGGCACTCTGTTTTCTCTTGCATGGTGGCCGCCCTCACACTGTAGGGCAGTGGTAGAGCACCTATGACACATGTGCTGCAGTGAGCTGTTTGTATCACTGAGGCTCCACAAGGTTCGCCATCACAGCTGTAGTTACAGTCCTACTTTACAGGCCCCAATTCACTCTAGAAGGCCTGTTTCTTTTCCTACTCTTAATGAAACTTTCCTACCGTTAAAAAGTGGGGGGCCTGAAACTCTAGGGACCCTAGGCTGGCCCCAAACTCACAATCCTCCCACCTTAACTTCCTTTCACTTTTTTTTTTTTTTTTTAACCTCCTGAGTGCTAGGCCAATTTCATCCTATTAGACACTGCTCTGTGCTACTGTCAGCTTCAGGCCATGCTAATCCATCTCAGAGGGAACTGTAAGCAATAGACACACACACTCGGTTATCTGCTCCCAGGAGCAGGACCTTACTAGTAGTAGAACAGCCAATTGGCTGGCCAAGTGTGATGTCATGGAATGGCTGGCCTGCAGCCACAGTGTCATCTTCTGCATGCTTCATACTACTGAATACTTTTTGAAATCGCTTTCCTCCACATTTATTTACCTTCTGGTTCCTTCATTGCTGTGTGAACTTTGCGAGAATAGACACCTTGTCTTCAGAATCATGGAAACAATAAGTAATGAACTCAAGTAACTGATTTATTTTTTAAGTCCTGGATATTTGCATTAAGTTACACACCTAGGTGTTTTTTTAAGACAGAATCTTGTTGAGTGACTAAATTTCCCAGGCTTGGCTTAAGATTGTGATGCTCTTACCTCAGCCTCTCAGAATGCTGGCATTACAGGTGTGTGCTGCCATATCTAGCTACCTGTTCTTTTAGTTTAGTTCCCATAATTCCCAAGCTACATTCTAATTATAGTTCACCCTCACAGAAAGTTCATA